ACTGATGCAGTGAAAAAGAACAAGAATATTTTTTTTTAAACTCACATTACCTGTTTTTTTTTCAAATTTCTAAAAATAGTATATTATATTTAGCCTGAATGAACACAAACAATGTGTCACACTATCTATACATGTACAAACACAATTTGAATTTTTTAATTTAATTTGTACATAATAATAATTAACCTGAAGCCGGGAATATTTTTAATGTAAAACAAAACTATTCATGAGAACCACTTGTTTCTGCCATTCATTTTGGCTGGTCATGGAGGCTCTCAGTGGACAATGTGTTAACACAGTGACTAGAAAATGGACAATCAAGGTCAGAATAAAATTAATGGACATTAGACAATGTCAAAACATAAAGACCTTTGTCTCATATTCTTTCTATAGAGAATAAATTTGTTAACAATTTTAATGATCTGGATCAAAATTCAACAACAATACTACTTGTACTTTTGATGATATCTATATTTTATTATTTACTAGGTTTTAGTTTTGTCATTTTTGATGACAATAACAGTAAACTAAACAGAATCCAGAGGATATGTAAAGTTGAAATAAAACTGAATTTTCCAATGAAATATTCGTGAATGTAACCCCCAGTAATATGATCAAAAATCGTGATTAAAAATGAATTTAAATGTTGTTACAGTGTCTTCTATGGAGCAGGGAATACAATTGTATGTGATCATGAAGTATAAAAATAAACATCACAGCTCATAATGGGAATAGATTGGATGAATATTTAATGATATACAGCATTTAAGTAATCTACTTTTTAGGAAGTTTCTGCGTGCCATGGGACAGTAGCAGTACTCAAGACATCAGTTAAATAGCCATCATCTTATCTCCTGTAGTTATATGTTAATTTGATCAGGCAACCTATTAATATGCAAATCAGTACAATGAGTAATATCCGGTGGGATTGAATAATTTCACTGATGCACACACATGTTGAAATGAACAAGCGTTTCATTTTGATGCATGTTCAAACATGTACAAAATGTGTTTTTTTTTAGCAAAAATATAAATTTTCACAAGAATATTTCATCATACTGGAGTAAATTTTAAGAGCATTTTAAACAGTAGTGGCATATATTGTAATGAAAGTGAGGGGTATGAGTAGGGTCACCAATATAGTTGTTGTTTATACCCATATTTTCACTACAAATATAATTGAGAATAGTTTAATATTACCGTCATGAGGGCGGATTCCTACAACAGGGGATGTACCGATGATATCAAGCATGTCCGTTATTTCTCCCAAGATGTCCTTCAGGACAATTAAGCGATCTGTGGAGTCCACTGCAGTCATTCCATGATCACTGGTAATAATAACGTTGGTTTTATTGTACAGGTTTGTCTCTCGCAACCGCTGTACGAGATGACCAATTGTTTCATCGCACATACTGATAACACCCACCATTTCTGGGGCATCTGGGCCATATGTGTGGCCAGTATGGTCTGGTTCTTTTAAATACAACAAGCCCATATTAATCGGATTCTCAGTTGAAGTGAACCAATCTATGACTGTATCCACACGTTCATTAAACGTGACCGTGTCCGTAGAATTAATACTGTTACGGAAATTTGGTAGGGTGTTTTTAATTTTAACATCCGCTCCCGGCCAGTCGTATACGCCACTTTTGCCGCCTCGGCGTTGGTTGGTCACCCAAATTGGTTCAGCTCCTGTGTCCCACCACAAACTGCTATCATTTCCCGTCTTGCCGTTATCGAAATGATCATCGAGAACAGGGTCGTACATCTCGTCCGCCACGATGCCATGGCTTTCTGGCCACAAGCCTGTTGCTATCGTGTGCTGATTTGGAAAAGTGTCTGTGACGAACGCGCTTACGATACCGTCTGGAGCGAACGATCCATCTTTTATCAACTGATCGAAATTGGGCGTGTTCGCCTTGCTCAAATAGTCCCATCGGAAGCCGCCGAAACTGATCAACAACGTTAAGGGTTCATCGCGGAAGGCACAAGATGCATCAAATGTAGTAAAAATTAACAAAATGGAGAGAGAAATGGACTTAGCTAGCTCCATCGTCATCATCGCTTTGAAAGCATGAGGTTTCGCGTCCAGATGTTACACATATATGCATAATAAGCGGGCGATCGTAATCCACGCAGCCTGTTCGTAAATTGACACGTGTTTGTTTACTTCCGGGTAATTGAAAGGCCCGTTTTGTTTTATAGAGGGCGCCCTGTGTTTCCAATCATCGTTTGTATACTTTATATTTATATTCGCCTCCCAGAAAATCAAGAATTCAGAAAAATATAGTGGTAAAGAAGACTTTTTCTAAAAATGTTCCTTCTTTCTAGTACTAACCGTTCTGCTCTTTCTCTTTCTATGCACTTAATTTAATTTGTATTGGTGTATTACATGTATTTGTAACTTGAATTCTCTCTCCCTAACCTTTTCTACTGATTCGAATTTCTTTTCTTCCATAAATGTATTTGCTCTCTCTTTCGATTTAATACGGTCGTAAACCATCTGTTCTATATTTACATGATATGTACGAGTCACTGTGTTAACATTTTTAAAGTAACTGCTCTTTTACTCATAATTTCAATTTATGTAATTGTTTTCCCCTTATTTTTTAAAGTCATTGTTTGCACACGAGCCATGGAAAATATCTAAAAAACACGGGCGAGTCGTTTCTGGTCGGTCATTCATCCTACATATCCAACATTTCTACAACTAACATTGATAAATACGGTTTTGGTAAAGCCGGCCATTCATAACTGACCAACGAACCAGTGCGTGATCGTGTTAGAAAAAGCTGTATTTCACTGCCACCAATCAGCGTTGCTGTATCATAAATGTGAACGGCTTGGGGTCATCACATATTAAAACAATGGCGTGTTGACTTTGCGCTGATTCGCCGAGAATCAAGTACAGAAGGCAGGTGCAGTCAACGGAGCTGTTCGTGAAAAAATGTGTTCGCAAGGGATTTTTAGCGGGCAGGCAAAATAAAACATCTTCAGTGGGAGGGAATTAAAAATAGGGTTTCTCAGGGGAATTCCAGTAGGAGAAGATTTTTATTCAGAGGGCAGGCAAGTTCCATTTTTAGATTGAGCGGGTAAGGGCAAAATCACTGATTGTACATTGTATTTTTCAGAAGTGCAAAATTTAAACTTGGGTACAACTCTCTTAATAAAGAGTGTTGCCGGTGAAATGGGTCATGGCATTTTGTCATTTCATGGAAAATATAGGTATTATATTATCTTTAAATTCGCCTGCTATAAAAAAAACGTTAAATTTAATTCACATGGGTTTAAGGATTGGAGCTGGTGACCAATTAACTTCTTCTCTGGGAAATGATAGTGAGAAGGTAGCAGAAACTATTGAGAGGGGAATATTAAGACAGTATGAACTGGGTGGGAGAGAGTAGATACAACTGTGCGTCCAGAGGGCAGGCAAAAAAATGAGTGGGGAGAGGGCAGTGGGGAACAAAAACTGAGAAGGGAAAGGGCAGTGGGAGCAAAACCAAGTGGGGAGAAGGCAGCGGGGAACAAAAACTGAGTGGGGAGAGGGCAGTGGGAGCAAAAAACAGTGGGAGGGCAATTTAATTTGGTTGAGAGGGAGGGGAGTTGCGAACAGATTGACCTTTCCCCTCCAAATTAAATTAAGCCTTAATAATGTTCATAAATTAAGTTACTGTTGATCAAACATAAATACCAAATATTTTTGAAAATTTACTCGTTGACTGCACCTGAGAAGGTCTATATTCGTTGACACGTTTCCAAAATTTGTTATTCCAACGTTGAAAATTGTGTGTGGGCAAGTGAAACAAGACGATGGAATGTGTTTTAGTAAACTCACAAAACTTTCGAAACTGATAACATATCGACTTTCCCTTTCCGGTTTCGTTGCAACAAACACATCATTTCCCTCAGATACAGCACTAAGCGCTTTCCTTTGATAGACAGTAAACTCGTTCACAGAGCAAAAAGCTCACAACACGTTGATTTCTATATTCCAAATTGTTAATTTTACCAAGTAATGTGTCGGTTTTATCATGAGTTCTGATTGGATAATGCAAATGAGCCCAAGTGAATCTTATAATCGTACGAGGGCGTGCGACATACAGTAAATCGTGGTGAAATCTGCCAAGGGTTAATGTTGAGGCTTCGGCTGAATAAATGGTCCTTGGCTGGCGAAGATGAGTGCTTCCGGACCAATAAGTCAGGACCATATACATCTCTGTTCCCATAAGTTGTTATAGTACTTTTAAACGAGATCACAGCAAGACGAAGTCGAAATGAAGAAGACTGGGTCGAACTCGGAACTCACTCAAGGGCAGTTTTGGCATTATTACACGATGAACATTGGGCTATCTGGAACTCGATGTCGGTCATTGACTTTTGGGTTGCTTCATTCTTGTCTTCGAAACATTCATTATCGTATTTAATTGTTTTTGTTAAATGTCGTGTTTATCAGATTATTATATTTTTGAAATATATATATACATATATTCTTTGCTCTGAAACCTTGTCTGTAAATATACGTACTGTTGACGTACAACGTTTTCCAGTGTAACAAAGTATAGTGCGAACGTAGCATCTACAATTTAACTTTCAATCAATCAGGGACATTCCGGCCTCGGTTTCAGTATCCTACCAATATTGTAAATGCTAGTAGGGCGCGCAACTGCTTAATTAAGCTCCGATCTCTACCGCGTTGTTGTGTTTTACAGCTCTCCAAGTTTATGTAACCTTTACGGTAAAGTCTCCTACACATTAGTGGATATACTGCATTGATGAAATTCCTGTATATACTTGCTCCCAATGTATTTCTACGAAAACGTCAAATCTTGGGCGAATATTTCGCAAGGGCATTCAAAATTTAAAAAAAAAGAAGAAAATACAGTAAAAATCTGTGTTTTAATGGGCCAGACGAAAACCCCAATATCCCAAGCTTTGATTTTGAGACGACTATCATACAAATACGTAATCATATGCGTATTTAGCATTTCTTGAATAATCGGGGCCGAAAATACAATTAAGTGCTTGCGGCGTTTCATAATAATTGAGTTCCATTAATAATTGTAACTTAAAATATTATTCATGGGATATGTCTTCTTCATAACGTCATTGGTATGTAGTTATTGTTTCTGTTTGCTCTACTGCTCTCGGCGGTATTAGGTAAGTATACGCCACAGTCACAGTGGCTAGGGACTGGCACCGAGTCTAGTTTGAAGTCCGAATAAAGAGAATTGCCATCCCAAGTGACACAAAAAATAACACAGCCACTAAACAGCTAAGAAAAGTTGAAAAAACTTACCGAGAACCTTTTAGAGGAAAAACGTGGTTTTGTTAGGCTTTAGTTTGCATAGTTTTCATCTATAATTTACAGATAAATGCACCAAGGACGATGTGATTGATGTTCTATTTATAATATTTTCGTTAATTTACAAGTTTTGGGTAAAAACAGTTTTAAAATAAAAATATTGTGGATATTGGATTTTTTGTTGTTGTTGTTGTGGCACAATGCTGTTGCCATAGGGATTTGCATGATAAAAATCAGTGGTAGAATGATGTTACCATAACGATTTACATGATAAAAAAAGCTTAGGACTTTATTGATCTTTCTGACCTGAAATTGTCAATTTCTAACACTGCCTATCTAAACTTGCCTATCCGACGAGATCTGTACAAAGACGAAAGGCTCGAAGTCAGCATATTATTCACTGAATTTAAACTACCATTGTTTAGGTCAGGTTTAAGACTCGTAATATGGCACATCATTGGTTAGACTTCGACGCTATTGAATGGTTCGGATTTGAAGTTACTTTTGAACGCTGGTCCATGAGATGAAGAACGCACGTATAAATTTATAGCGATTGTCGCAGACGTGGTAAACTTTGTCGTCTACAGGATGAAAAGAATGTATGAGAAGACGAATTATGAAGGTTTATATATTACAATATATATTCAAATGTTGAAATAATTGTAGGATCATGATCATGCTGCAATGGTATTCGCACTGTATTCCTCCATTGTTTGTCAGTATCGATGACTATTTTGCAATTTTAAGTGTGGATTTTGGAATACTCATTATCTTTTTAAAGTTTATTTGATGTTTGTGATACCCGGTTTAACATGGAACAGCAAATATTTAACAAATTATTACCGGTACTTTATAGTCCATGCATACTTTTCGGTATCCTCGTAATAATGTCGTAATTTGTTTCCATGTGTCTAGAGACCGGTCACTGATACGACTTGATAACTGGTTTCTAGTGAGTGGCTGGATGACATCATTCAACACTTTCCCATAACCTGTCATCATTTAGGTTTATAAAAGGTCCTGGACGGAACTCTAGTCAGTGATTGGAACTAATTACAGATATAAACGTCGCCAACCAGACCGTTTGGTATGTGTAGTCTTGTAATATAGGGAGCAATTAATAATTGATATATGACGTGTTAAATACTTCGTGTGATTGGCTACATGAGTAGAATGTGTGGAAGCCACGCCTCAAGATCTTGAACTTCCATGTAAGGTGCGATGGTTTTTGAAAGGCGAATAAAGTAGTCTGGGACAGTCTCCACGTGGCTCCATGACGAGAATTTGACAGAAATTCTAGATCTGTGTGTGTGTCTTTGTTCGGTGAAGGGTTGGCTAACGTAACACTCCCTGGTATCTGACGTAACTAAAGGTTTAATAACACGATAATTAAGCCGTCATAATAACCTCAAATTATACTACCCTAAACTCGTATATCATCATTGACGACTTACTATCATACAGTCTATCTGATACCACAGGTGTTCTATCAACGTTGTCAAACAGATTCAAATTTTCCAACACTACAACCAATGTCGTCATTTCTTATTAATAATATTGATTTTATCATATAGGTTTGCTTCTTCCAGTCTCTGTATCAGATAACCTGTCGTGTTGCCACAATTCTGGTGCTTCCAGGCCATATTGATGTCCACTGTGGTCTTGTTCATTTAAATATAGCAAACCTAAATTAATAGGATTCAGTTCTGTTAACCATTCGATAATCCCATCAACCCGCTCCGAAATGTTCGCCTAGAATCGGGTCGTACATGTGGTTAGCTACGGTGCCATGATGGTTTTCTTCCCACATCCCCGTCGCAGTCGTAAAATGATTCGCTTTCGTATTTGTTATGAATGAGCTCACGATTCATTTTGGAACTGTGACACCGTCATAGACCAATTGATCAAAATAAGGTGTCTCTACTTTTCTCCAAATAATCCCACCTGAAGCCGTCAAAGCAGACCAGTAAAGTACTAGTAAACAAACTCTCTTCATAGGCGGCAGAGAGCCAAATAATAACTAAACTATATACAGCGGACGTATACCTGTCTCAAGTTCACACAATGAATGAAATTCTGAGGACGTTAAATATTAATTTCTATAAATCAAAATGGCATCTACAATTAAATTGACAAGTCCTGGAATGAGTTTTCATTAATATTGACGAGTTAGTTCAACGTCATTTTTATTATTCAACCGGTCATAGAATAACTTATATGAACTATTTTATTATATTATATTTGAATTTTTATTCAATATATACCTCCCCATGTTATGCACGTTGTTTAATTACCATATATAGTGGCCTTATCAAAACTTGTGTTGTGCGTAAACTTCCCGTCATGCAATATATCGCCATGGTGACGTCAGTTCAACCCAATCATCATACATGATGTCACAATTCCAGGGAGTACGCAATCTCCATATTGATTACATTAGACTTAGTTGCTGAATAGGATTGGCTTCAAATCTGGTTTGCCGTTAAAGCGGGG